TGTAATAAGAAAATACAATAAAACTGTGTAATTTCCCAATATAAGGTAGATATTGAACAAGCGGCATCAGCATTGAAAACGAGAAAATAATAAAAATTGTTAAAACATAATTGAATCATTCCAAACGCGTACATACCTAATTTACCACCAATGTATAAGAAATAATGTATATTAAAATGGAGTCCCCCTAACCTCAAACCAATGTCATCAAATAATGTAGGATTATTGCTAAAATTACCTTGAAATTTTGGGATCAAATCCGTCATCTCCCATGCCTGAAGAAGGTCCTCCATTTTAACATATCACAAGCACAAACGATAACAAAAAAACTTTATATAAAGTACCCGGTGCGTCTCGTGTCGCAGAGGAGAAACAGAAACCAAATGAAGATAGGAATCAGGAATGCACTGTTGCGTTGTTGCTGTTGGGGATGGTCACTTAATATAAGAATAGTAACTCTTGGAAATGGGGTGTTATTCTCGCGCCGAGAATAATATACTTATTTAAAGTCTTAATACACCGATTTCAAGTAAAAGTTTTAAAAAAAGTTAAGAATACTACTTATTATTATATAAAAGAATTTATACTTCATTTAATAATAGTTTCTTCGTTGCTAAAGGATTTATTCACTTGATAGTAATATAAGTTTTTCTTAAATATAAGTCATTTTATTCTTTTTTTAGATTCAAAATTACTTAAAGTGACTATAACTATATTTAAAAAGCAAGTGTAAAAGTAAAATAGTTCCAAATATTTGTTGTACACATGGAAAGAATACTATCCTTAAAGAAAGTGTAAAATTTTAAGTGTATGATTGTTCTTGAATATAGAAATGATTTTTTTCCGTGTATATCCCCTTTGGTAGTTCTGTAAGGTCGCGGTGGATTAACTCCCCTAACCTAAATATTCTACATTCTGCATCGACCAAAAGACTCACCCTGTATAGATTCATAATTCTCTACCACTTTCAAACATCGTAGATATATTAGAATATTCGAAAAACTAAGGCATTATACATCACCAACATCAGAATTTCTTTCCAAAAGCACGAAACCCCCATAAATATCGTAGGTAAGAAAAGCCTCGTCTCTGCTTCATTAATAATTAATAAACGACTATTAAATTTTAAAACCTCATGCATTATAGATGGATGGGACAGGACGACCCCCTTAACAGGCGCCCATAACCTCAAAGATCCAGATCATATCTGTTGATGCCCATTCGGTCGTGTTCGTTTATCTCCCGGTGTCGTCTTAAAGATATAAAATAATTTTAACGATTACCCCTGTTGCCGTTTTTTCCATTTTTTCTTCTCTCTCTAATCGATTCGTTTCGATTTAATCCGTACTGGCGGTGCAGTTTGTTTCACCTGTAACCAGGGTTGGTGTCGTGTAGTAATTCTTATTTTTTGTGACATCAATTTAACGACAAGCGTTAGTTAAAATTAATAAATTTAATAAAACACGTGTTTATAATTATTATAATATTTATTATAAAGGTTAATAAAAAGTCACAAAACAGAACTTAAATGTGTAAGATACTCATTGCCATCTCTCCTTGTCTAGAAGAACCTTACTGAAATAGAAACAAAATGCCATTAGATACAAAATAAAAAAAATACATACAAGAAAAATATATCTTATCAAAACATTCAACTTACCAACTTAGAGATTATGTATAGAGTCTTCTACTCCGATACTCTGTTAAATTTTTCCTCCCAAAACACAGTCTAAAAGAATAAATAATAAAACTTAAGATATGTTGATATAGAGAGATCATGGAACAATTATGTTTACATAAAAAAAGCTAAAATTAAAATGCAAATAATTATAATAAATGGAGATTGTGTTTTCTAAGAGGGCTGGCTTTATATTTACAAAAACTACATATAAACATAATTAATTTAATATACTTACCCTTAAATTATAAAAACACTAATCACCCACGCTCTGAGACTTTCTCCTAAAACGTTCTTCGTCTTTCCTCCTAACTACGTTTTCAATCGATTACTTAATGCGCATCAGCTTTACAAGAAATCACGTGACGTGGCGTCATTTTTTACTAAATATATTAAGATAAACTTACACAAGTTTTGTGAATATATCTCGACACATGCAATTTTACTACAGTACGTCTGCTGGATCTGTGTCTATGAAAGGAATGCGGACAAAAAACATTTAAATAAACAACAATATATTTTATACGTCGACTTGACGAGTACGTCACCGCAAATCGCTCCGCCCACTCATTTTATTGACCACTTGCAAATTTGTCGAATTTTTATTGATGGGACACGTCGTCTATTTTTTTACGAAAAACATCGAGAGAATATCGTTTCCCCTCGTAGCTACAGAACGGACAGACGTACTGTACATGATTGTATTTCTGATATAAATTTAATTTTAGTATCAATATTTTTTTGTAAAATTACTTATATTTTTTTCAGTGTACAAACTGAAGGATGTTTTCCATAAGAAGATATAATATTCTTATGTGTAGAATACACGTAACAAATGAAATAAAAACGTGTCATATTATATACCCATCCCTGCTGGGCTGCTATTCTACCTTTTTTAATCGAAGCTATTGGAATTTAATCTGAACGGGTATTTGTTTCGCACAGTGTCGTGTAATAGCGCCCATTAATAAAGATTTACTGTTAATGGGGCATATTTTTTTAATTAAAACTTAATGTTACGACGCTGGGGCAGGCCAGTGTCGTGAACACAAGAAACTTGTCTCCCGTTCAAGCGCTAATGTTTTCGTGTTGTTTAATTTATATTTAAATATCAGTCAACACAGTTTTCAACCATATTATTTACTTGATTTTTTTGTAAAATATATAAAAATAAATTACAAACTTCTTAAGTTAGTGCCATTAAAAAATAAGTACCTACGGACCAAATAAATGACGTCTAGCTTGACTTGGTTTGACCAAGAATTGACCTCGTCAAAATTGTCATCGATTGTCGTTCCCCAGCTGTCGTTGACGCCGTTTTTTTTTCGATCAACAGGTATTTCTAATGTCGTAGAGAAATAAACTTTGCTGAAAAATATTATTGCTTCCTTAAATTTATACAGGGGTACCAAACATTGCTGATCTATTTTAAGGATATATTTTATATAAAAAGTTCGTTATTTCAAATAGAACAGCCTGTATTTTAAAAAAAATCCTAGCAGATTTAAATGCTCTTTCAAACTATATTAGGGTTTCCTATACCTATCTATCTAGCTCAGATTTTGAATAAAAACGATTTTTAAATAAAATGGCAATGAAGATGACTGGTGTCTGAATTTTCGAGTGGCAGTTAGTAACTATTTTCAAAATCTACATTGGTTTAGGGACATTATTATAAAAATAATATAATAAATGCCTTATTTTGTGTCCAAGGATCCAAATATTTCATAAAATACCGGGTGTTCCATAAGAAAAAAATATAACTTTGATGTGGATCTTAGTTCTGACGTACCCAGAACATTTCAAAATAATTTTAAATTATGCAATATTAAATTTCCTTCCCACATATACCCATAAAATATTTTGTTTCTACATCTTTCCGTTTTCGTATAATCAACCGAGACGAATGAGGTGCGCCACCCTGTATATAGGTGCCAGAAAATCGAACAATTTAGCTAAAAAATTGCTTAAAAATCTACTAATAAAATTATTGAATCATAGAAAATTACACTATTCATAAACTTTTAACTTCGCACCAGTTACCAATTGATACCGTTGCAATTAAAACAACCATGAAATAACGAGCCTTACATGAAATTTCATTCTTGTATTAATTACACCCCTAACTTATTTACACCCACCCCCTTCACCTGATCTGACACATGACACATGTCAAATTTTTTCTGCACGAAATCAAGTCAAACTGACACCATCATCGTGCGAACGATTGATTAAAATTCAACTCTATAGTTTCAATGCAGCGCAAAGTTTTGGATTTTTAAAGAAAAGCGGGGTGGAAAGCGTAGAGGAACTGGAATAAACATGCGTGATCCGGATTTTAATAGCTAATTTAAATTTCTGCTAATTCTCGCCGATCACGAATAACACAGACCGATCCTGGTTTAATTATAAGCAATTTGCTAACTAACTTTTATTTTGTTCTGCTAGTATGTCTATCTCTAATCGTTATTATTTTCCAGGGTTCGAAAATATCATCATGATATATATGATATACCATACGATCGAAAAAAAATGGTGTCAAAGACGGCTAGTTGACCATAAGAAGGTTGAAAATTGAGTAAAAATGATTTTTAAATGATGCAGTTTAAAATTTGAGAAAAAATATTTTTTTTGAAATAGATTTGTGTGTCTGGAAACGGGGGGCATCATCGATTGTTATTCCCCAGCCGTTTTTGACGCCGTTTTTTTTCGATAATACTGTATATTAACATTGATATTGGCACATCCTCATCTGATGTATTATTATATCAAGAAAAAATGTTATTAATATCAGTGATACTATAACTTCAGAACCTATATAAGGCTATAAATATCATGATATGTACCGTTATACAGGGTGAGTCCTAAATAAGTGCCCTTTTTCAAATAAGTCCACAATAACCGAGTTATTCAAGTTTGAAAATATTAAAAAAAAATGATTTGTTTTTAAAAAAAAATGTTGGAAGCCAGTGGCTTTTTTCTGCATTTGTATTTATTTTAGTGAGATCAGAGGTTTAAAAAGGTTTCTAAAATATGCAGGAAAATTTAATCGAAAATTCACGATTTTTAACATCTTTTTTTTTGAGAAAAAAAATTATAGACGTGACCCGGGTTCGAAAAATACCACTCTTCATCAATTAATTCTCAAATATTTTCACTTATTTAAGACTCACCCTGTATATATTTTAAAAAAAAAATATGAATTTTGGACATAATTTGTATAAGAATACACATACATAATTTTATATTGTTTTTGATTAAATTGTAGGCAAACCAAAGAATGTATGCTTTCGAATGTCATTAATACTGTTTTTTGTTACAGTTTATAAGGAGAACGTCAGATGGGGTGAGCAAATATTAAATTAATTAAATACAATTTTTAAATTTTTTAGAGGGATTTTAAAAAAGAATTTGTTGAAATTTGAAACATCGAAATTTATTTATTGAAAATAGAAGATATTTTTTTCGTTATTAAGTTTGCATTTTTTTTAATAATAAAAGTAGTACAATAAATGTAGAAAAAATAGAACAGTGTTATTTTCTGATAATGTATTTATGGCAAATTAGTACATAACTTAACTTAATTTTAATATATGTCTATAATAAAACAAGCAAATAAATAACAAAAACCATACAATATCTTCAACAACTCATTTTTCGTGTTTCAATGACAAAGAATAATTTTGAACGTTTTTAACTAATAATAAACAGTACTTTACAACACGAAAAAAAAAACAAACTCGTTTTTAAAATACCGTGAAATATCAAGCAGCGATGCCAAAATTACACCACTTCAACCTTGCCCTCTTGTAGCGCTCAGAGACAGAAAGGCCTAATTTATTTTAATCTCTTTTAAATTTATACAATTCCGTCCGATGGAAATATTAAAATGGGGCCTGTATAGTTGTGTTTTCGTGACGTTTTGACCCCAAAACATCCCCCCCCCTCTCCCCCGCCGCCGCGCGTCCTGCAGGCATTATCCCGTTTCCTGGGAAATTTCGTTGCGAATTTGTCGCCCTTCGGAATATTCAAGTGGGCTGTGCTGGGGCATTTGCATTTTGTTTGACATATTAGCGCTGTCACTGGAACGGCCGCCGCCGCGTGGATTCGAGGGCCATGGCAAGGAGCTGACATAATAATGGACAGATAGTATTTATATCCATTAGTTTATTTAAAAATTATATTTGTTTAGAGCTAGATTCTATACACCCTAGATTATAATCAGTGGCGGCTTGTGGTTATTATTGTAGGGAGGTCAATATTTAAAAATATTGCGTAAAATTAAAAATCGATTTTTGAGCAAAAAATCGATTTTTAATTTTTTGTACCGCTGTGGTGTACCGTTTAAAAAAAATTCCCGAGCTCATAATTTCATCGAAAATTGAGTGAGGAATTCAAATAAAATAGTTTCATATTTTTACGTTTATCGTAACATGGTTAAAAATTAAAATTAAGAATAAAACCTCGTTTTTTTTAGGTTCTTGCCAACGGAGTTTCATCTAAAGTTTACAAATATTAATACTCTGTAACTTTTTGATATATTGTGTTTTAACTCATTTAACGTCAGTTTTTTAGGTTAAGTTAAAAATGCATTAAATAAAAACTAAAAACTTGGACAATTATCTGTAATTACGTGATAATTGTGAAAATAGAACGACAGACATCGCTCGCAAAACGCAACAAAACTCATCAACGAATCCAAAGAAATTTCCGATCATTTTTCCACCGATGCCAATCAAGCGCGGCGGTGGCCGCATCACAAACTCAGAAAACCGTTTAGTCCCGATTTAACAGTAACTAAGCTCGACCCTTATTTTCCCCCCTTTCCTCCCCCTTTCAAAACGAACATGCAAATCTATTATCGATCAGTAGCACGGCTCCGTTCGACCGACATACGCGTCGTGGTCCCCAGTTGCCCGGGCTTCCCCCCGTGTCTCCCCTAAAGTGCACTTTTGCACTTCGGTGCCGATGCGTACCAATCGCTGTCCCGTCTCCCCTACCCCCTACGCCGCTGTTTTAATTAGGATCGTGTACGCGGATATGGAATATCGAATTTAAATGAGGGCATATCAAGAAATTATTGAAATTGATGGCAGAGACACGAAATATATACATCTAGAACATTTTTAAAAATTTGAACCATTTTAATATATGAAGTTTGAACCTTTTAATATATTTTTTTAAATTTCATGAATTTTCTATTCAAATATTGTTTTTTCCGATTTGCGTTTTTGAACCTTTTTAATTTTTTCTTTGAACCACCTTAATCATGTTACAGTTAAAAGAAAAATTCCACATTCCTTTCAATCTCTTAATTTAAGCCTTCGTAGAGTTTAAAGTGAATCTGAACTCCCTTACGCATTTAATTTAATTATTGAATCATTTTTATTCAATATTGAACCTATTTAAAGTATGTCGTCTACTTAGAGAAATTTAGATAGAAACCAACATTTCTTTCAATCTTCTAATTTAAACCCGGCAGTTATTTTGAACCTTCGTTGAAATTAACTTAAAGGATTAACTTAAATGAAATTTGAACCATTTTAATACGTTTAATTCATGCATTGGACCACTATTCAATTTTGAACCTTTGTAGAGTTAAAAATGATTGGAACTATCTCTTAAGAACGACCAGAACATTTAACCGTTTTAATTTGTAATTTAAAGTACCTTTAGAGAGAGGAATTTGAACCCGTTTAGCACATTTTATTCAAGCATTGAAACATTTTCACCTACCAATGTTTTAATTAAAATTTTAGGCGGATCTGGCATATCAAATTTAAATGACGGATATCAAGAAATGAACTATATTTGTTTAAAATTTTGAACCCTCTGCACCTTAAGTTTTAACTTTTTAATACGTTTTTTCGCCTAAACTTCTCTTTTCAATTTGTGATTTTGGACCTTTTTAAAATAAGGTAGAGTTCAAAATATATTGCAATCATTTAATTTGAACCCGGCAGTTAATTATTTGAATCTTCATAGAGTTAATGCAACTTAAGGAGAATTTGAACCCTCTTAAGTAATTTCATTTGCTTGAATAAAATGGTTCAATGCTTGTTGAACCTCTTTTTAATTTTTAACGAAATTTAAACGGGTTCAAAATCGAATTAAAATGGTTCAATAATTTCAATTCGATTTTGAACCCATTTAAATTTCGTCTGTTTATAGTAAGATAAAGAAAAACACAACTACGTCTCTTTTCAAGGAGAAAAAATGCAAATAACTGTGATTTAATTTGGTTTTCGGTGCTCCATCAAGGCCGACACGGGGCGACCGTAGCGCGTGGCTTGTTAACACGTGGATTTTCGGCTTTTAACACGTTGCGGCTGCCCCCCACTGTTGGACGCGTTGTGGGGCGGGCAAGCGGTGGAAAAACCGCCTCCAAATATTTACCGTCGATTAAAAGTGCGTTCGCGATATCGGATAATGCGCGCCGCGGCCAAATTATGCGATCTATTTAGCGCGGGGCTACCGTCGAGCTGAAAAACGCCGCTGCAGGGACGAAGCATTCATCATCGTGTATAAATATAAATACTATTTTATTATTTCTTATTGAAGATTACTACCATGTTGTATATCAGAGTTCGTTCTTTAATTAGGTCCGCTTCTCAGTGAGTGTAAAGATTCGGAAACGATCTAGAAAAAGATTGAAGATTGTATGAGAAGGAGGAAATTAATCACCGCAACCTTATGGATCTATTGTGCCCCCCTATTTCTTGAGTTATAACTCATCATACAGTCTCGGTGCTTTTACAAAAGCCAGTATTTGAGAGGGTTTTACAGAGGTTCTCTTAGTGATAAGATGTTCTGGTGTTTCCTCCTTTTCCCCACAGAATCTGCATTCTCCGTTGTTTCTTAGCCTCAAACCTACTGAGGTGTTCATTGGGGAGACAGTATGTGCTGTTAAAAACCCCGTGACAATTCGAAGATTGTTCTTATTTAAATCTTTGAGGCAACAGCTTTTATCAATTTTAATAAAATAAGTAATTAATTGGCGTTATCTGAAAACTGTTTATGTCAGCTTGATACCAGTAGCAAAAATGTGACATTTCTAATAAAAAAAGCGCTACACTAGGCTTACTTGATTTTATTTATTATGTATCGTTTACAGGGGAATATATGAAAAGTTTTAGCAACAGTTTCATGCAAACATTTTGAAAATAATATTTCTAAGTAATGACAAATCTGGGAACCACTGTGCATTGCATCTAGAAAAAAAAAACACGCTGATGAGTCCCTGTTTAGAGCTCCCCGACGCGACACGTCACACGCACCGCGTGCCGCGTCACAAAAACCACTTGTTGTGTGGCGGCGGCCTAAATAAAAGCGCGCCCGCCGTCGGATTTCGGCGCCCAAAAAGCCGCATTTTTCCGCCTCCCACACTCACCCCCACGCCCATCGGTCGTTTGACACCTGTTATTTGCGGCACTTTTACCGATTCCAACAACAACATTAGCGCCACCGTGGTCTAGGGATGGATAGCCATGCGGGTGTCGATACTTTATATGTGGTTTCTTTGTGTAGTTGTATCGATATCTATTTTTATCCATTTGGTGTATTTTATGTGCACTGATAAAAAAGATAGACTTGAACTGAAGTCGTCATCGTTCTTGAAAAGAAAAAATTAGTGGTAAGAGAATTTATTTTAGCGTAAAGGAAAATATTTAGCCTGAAGAAAAACTCTCTTAACTCAAGAAAACTTGTTCTCTTGAAAAATTCGAAAATTTCTCTTGAATCTATTTTCATTCAATCAAGTGCAAGTTACTTGTAGTTATTTGACTGAAATAATAAATTTGGGAAATTTTTATTTTTTTAATTAATCATAAATTTTTCTGCGAAAAAATGATGATAAAACAGTTTCTGTTGAACTTTTGGCACAAAAACATTTCAAGTTTATGATTTCAGTCTAATAACTATTTAGTCAACATGTTTAATTTATGTCAATGATGACGGTATTTTTAATTTCGATTTTTCAAATATCTCGAGAACCATTACTCGTAGCGATTTTTACCAAGACACTTTTTTTACGTAAAAAAAGTCGTAAATGTGTATTTTTTTACTCAGTAGTTTTATACAGGTACGAACAGGGCCTATTTTTCATCTGGTCGGGCCCTAAGGCCCAAGCAAAAATTCGGGCCCTCTTTTCCAATAAAATTCAAAAATTCTTGTGTTAGTTTGGGTAAAAAAAATAAAACGTTATTTTTAGATTGGGGAATCGCCGGCGCCGGTGTCGGTATCTTTGATATAAATTTATAAATAATTTTAAAAAATGCATTAATTATATCAATCTAAAGGTTATTTTATTTAATTATATTTTCCTTATCAGAGGTAACTGTTTCTTTT